TTGGTACGGAGCGCAGCTTAAGTCGTGTGACGCCAGCAGCTCTGTGGGGCGCACCGCAGCCTGCCGGGGAAGCGGCTGACGCGGCCCTGGCCCGGCCCCGGCCCCGGCCCCGGCCCCGGCCCCGGCCCTAGCCAAGCTGGCTCCCGCCGGCCAGACCGTGCCAGAGTCCGCAGGCAGCTGCCACGCTGCCTGCCAGGGAGAACCTGGATCACGCACGGGGCTGCGAACGTGTCCTTCCGGAGTGGGGGCCAAATGTTGCCGGCCCCCCGAGACACATTCGTCCTTTTGTCACACAAGCCGAAGGCGCGAATGCAGGCACCCCCTCAGGTTTACCTGGGCAAGGGCAGAGCTCACACACCTGTCCAGCTGGCTGCAGCGGCAGAGCCAAGGTGCCGCCACACACCCAAACTGGCCACAGCCTCTTCCAGGGCGCCCCTGCCCCATCCCAGCCCCCTCCTTCCCTGGCCCAGCTTCCACCGGGTCAGGACGGGGGTGAGCGCCGTGCCCCTGGAGCAAGCGAGGCCCGGGGAGGGCGGGGGAGACACGCCCGGCCAGCCGCAGCCACCCAGCCCCAGCTAAAAATAGCCCCGCTCCCCCGGAGAGCAGAGCGAGCAGCAGGATCCTGGCGATGAATCACGGCTGGCCGGCGTGTGGGCCGCCACGCTGCGGGGCCAAGGGCGCGGCGAGGGGCGGATCCTGCGCTGGAGATCTGGTTCGCAGCCCCCCTGCCTGCCCGGCCGGCAAGTCCCTGCGGGGGGGGCGCTCACTTCCCCCTTTGCGGCTGCTTCCGCCACAGTCCCTGCCGAGGAGCCGCCACGGCAGTGGGGAGACGGAGCCGCCGCTCCTGCCCCGGTGCCTCTTTGCCCTGGAGGGAAGGGCGGGCACTCTACGCGGGCACAGAGGCTGGGAGGCATGCTAGCAGCAACAGCAATTAGAGGCCCGTACGGCACTTTCCCTCCACATGCATTCTCCACATTTCACGGACAGAGCCGTTCCCACCTGGGCCGTTTCATGTCTGCGGAGGGCAGGCCTGGGGCCGAGCCAGCAGCCCCCCGGTGAGTGACGTGTCGGGCTGGCGTGTGGCGCCCCAGGGCCTGGCTCCCCGCTCATGCCCGGCTGTCTCCCCCCGGCCCAGGGGCTCAGTCCCAGCCCTTGGAAGGCAGCAGTCCGAGGCCGGGAGAAGCGGAGGCGGGCGGCTTGTGGCGGGGGCCTGTGGGGGAGGCTACTTGCCGGCCGGGGCCAGGCTGTCCCACCACCTTTGTGCCCCCGCCCCGGCCAGGCAGCTCCACGCTGCAGAAGGATGGGCCACAGGGGGCCTGGCCAGATGCCTCAGGGGCCTGCCCCTCCCAGCCTCTGCTCCCCACCCGTGGGGCTGCCCCCAGCACTCACCCCATGGCTCCCTCGGCTTCCAGATGACGCAGGGGCGGCTGCGGGGCGAGCGCCTTCCTGCCTGGGAACCACTCAGGGAGGAAGCAGGGCAGCCCAGGCGTCTCCAGCTCCCCTGGGCCCCCCAGGCCGGCAGCCCCCGCCCCTCCTGCTGGCCGCCCCGTGTGGCAGAGCGGAGGCGAGGCGCAGGCGAGGCGAGGCGAGGCGAGGCTGCCCGGCACGGAGTCACTCCCCTGGCTGCACTGCCGGCCACGCTCCCATGGCCCTGAGCGCCCGAGGGAGGGAGGGGGCAGCCCTACATAACCACCAGCGGCCCCTCCTCCCGGCGGGCGGGCACGGCTCCCGGTGGCGGCTTCCGCCCCGGCACAGGCTCCCCGGGCACGAGGCCAGCCGAATGGCCGGCACCTTCAGGGAGGGAGGGAGGGAAGGGCAGGGCAGGGCAGGGCAGGGCAGGGCAGGGCAGGGCAGGGCAGGGCAGGGCTTGGGTTTGCCCGGCCCGGCCCGGCCCGGCTCCCCAAGGGAGGGGCCCCAGGGACTCTCACTCCCAGGCGGGCAGCTCCCCCCTGCTCTGGGGGCTGCCCCCACAAATGCCCCCCGCCTCACTCCCCTGAAAGCCACAATCGGTTGCGCATCTTGCTGAGCGCTTGAAGGGACGAACTCCGCGGCTTTGCACCCCCTCCCACACGCAAGGAGCCCCCTAAGGCGTCTGCCTGGCTGGCTGGGGCTGGCGTGGCCTCCACTGCCTCACCAAACCTTCCGGGACGCCCTCCCAGGGAAATGCCCGAAGGCTGCGAGGGGAGGAGAGGGGAGGGCCCCTGCTGCTGAGAGGAGGGGCTCGCAAGGGGACAGTGCCCCCTCCAGCAGGCCACTCCATTCTCCTGGGTGCCCCCCTACCAGGCGGACGGGCTCCCCCCACCACGGAGGGTGGGGAGCAAGTCCTTCCTGCGGGCCCTGGAGGCGCCCAGGCGAGTCGGCACAGGGGGGTGGGAGGGTGGCCGGCCGGCCAGGCCTGGGCAGGAACAGGCTGGGGGACGGTATGGGGCCGCAGGGGCCCCCGTGACAAGGACCCTGCGGGCTGCCAGGGGCACCTCAGAGGCCGGGAGGCCCGCTTCCGCTCTGCATGGCGGCCTGAGCCCGGCAGGGCGGATGCTGCCGGGGCCACGTGGCTGCCTCCTGGGGCAACAGAAGCGGCTGCAGCACAGTGCCCCCTGTGGGCACCCATGGGAAGAGCGGGTCCAAGGCCTCCCCTACTCCCCCTCCCCTGCACCCCCCCAGCTGCTGCTGCTGAATGGGCAGGTACCTGCCGGGGGGGGGGAGGGCTGGAAGAGCAAGCTGCTGAGCGGGGTGCTGAGCCACCCCGCGCCTCCTCCCCTCCCGGTCCCACTGCCCAGCCAGGGGGCAATGGCTGCAGGCCACCCAGGCCAACTCTGTGCTCCTCACGCCTCGCCCAGCCCGTCCCCCGCCTGCCCCAGGGGGCAAAGCAGCCCCCCACGCCCCACTGCCCGTGGAACTCAACCCAGTGCTGAGGCCACACGGGCCATGGCGGGCCGGCATTTCCCGGGACTGGCCGGGCCGGAAGCCCCGCTTGGTGGCACACTCCTGCGGGCGGAACAAGGGGGACGGGAAGTTTGCAGGAGAGGAGGGTGAGGTCATCCGGCGGGGAGAGAAGCCGGAGCAGCTCCACAGCGCCACTTCCTCCTCCCTGCCTGGCTTCTCCTCGGCCCTTCCTCCTGCCCAGAGACCTCCGGGGCAGAAGCACTGCAGGAGGCGCCCCGGGAAAGGCCCTTGCCCCCCTGGAGCCACCGGCTGAGCTCTGCACGTGGCTTCGTGAAGGAAGCCTGGGCCTCTCCGAGATGCGACAGGCAGAGCCTTGGGGGAACACCAAGGGGGGCGAACGGCAGAAGGAAGCCCCGCCCCGGCCTGGAGGGCCTGGGCCACCTGCAGTGGCCTGGGAGGGCTCGGCTGAGGAGGGGCTCCCTTTCCCAGGCAGCCCGGAGCCCCCCCGTGACCCGGCCAGCACGAAAGGGCCTGCCCTGCCACAGGCCCTGGGCTGGCTGCCAGGCCCGCGGGAGGCGGGCAAGGGGGCACGAGAGCCCACACGCCGGGCCCCTTCCTGGCTGCGGCACAAGGGCCGGCTGCGCGGCAGCGGCCGCTAATGAGGCCCCCCGAGGACGGGGCTGCTGGCACGGAAGCAGCAGCACACCTGAGGGCAGAGCCGGCAGCCCCGCCAGGGCGAGCGCATCATCGCTGTACCTGCGCCCCTCGGGAGCCGCCCCGGCAGGGTCGAGGCACAAGCCCCCTGCCCCGGGCAAACGTGGCTCTCCAAGAAAGGTTTCCGGGGGCTGGGAGGCAGGCCGGAAGGGCAGAGGGCCCCGCCTGGGCCGCTCCGGGAATGACGCGGGACCCTCGGCGTGGGGGGCCCCCCTCCTGCCCGAGAGAGGCCTTCGGGAGGGCAGCTGCAGCTTTCCCAAGCCGACCGGCCTCCAGGGCGCAGCCGAGAGCCTGGCCTGCTGCGGCCCCCGCCTCAGCCCCCTCTTGCTGGCGGCGAGTCCCGCGGGCACAGGCCCCGGGGGGGACCCGTGCCCACGCTCCGCCTCGAGAGGGAGACCCGCACCTCCCCCTCGACACGGGCCTTGAGGCGATGCACTTCCCGGCGCTCTGCACCCTTCCACCAGTCCGCCGCCCCGTGAATCGGCACCGAATCAGCGCGAAAGGTTCCTGTGGCTGTTTGCACAATCCCCCCGTCGGGCAGGGCCCGGGGGGAGGGAATCTGTGCAATCGACCGCATGGCGTCAGCCCCTCCGCAGCGAGAGTGAGCAGCGAGGGGTCCCCGCGAGGGGGGGCTGCATCGGAGCCTCTCTGGCCAGAATCAGTTCGCGGCCCCCGCGCGGCGCTCCCATCCCAACCGGCCCATCGGTCCTCAGCCAGCGCCAAGGGCAGCACCGCAGCGGCATGGCCACAGGCGCATCGCCGCAACCGGGGGGGTGCTGTGGGTCCCCCACAGGACACCTGCCGGCCGGGCCACGCAGGAGAGCGATGTTCCATCGCGAGCCGGCTGCACGGCAGAGGCCTCCAAGGCCTCCCTCTGGCTGTGGACAGCGTGGCCCCCGCCCCGCTGAGCGCCGCCCTGAGCACCCCTTCGCTGCCCGGCCCTGCTCCGCCCAGGCATGCTGCCGCCTTCCTTCCCACACGCCGGCGCAGCACCGGGAGGGCTCTCTTCAGTCTCCAGAGACACAGAAGCAGAGCGGGTCAGAAGGGCCTCCCGGGCCATCTAGTCTGACCCCCTGCTCCAGCCAGCTCTGCTCATGACATGCCTGCCGTGGGCATGTCCAGCCTGTGCTCGGACACCCCCAAGGCCCCTCCCCCACGAGTGCTCTGGTCCACAGGAGCGCCTGGGAGCCCCTTGAGGGAGAGAGGGCTGCCCTGCGCCCTGCCCTGCCGCACTGGCCACACTGGTGCTTCCAAGGACGCCCCCCGGTGCAGGCAGGGGGAGCGACGGCTGTCTGCATGGGGCCTGATCGCTGCGGCTCTGCCCCTTTGCCTGCAGTCCACAAGGAGGCCGAGGCCTGCCCCCCCAAGCGTGCTGCTCCCACACACCTGCGGAGGCCACTCACCTTCCCGGCAAACCTGTGCACCGCCTCCAGTCTTCAGGAAGGGGGACGGAAGTCTGGGGCCTTCCGAGTCATTCCAGAGGATGCTGAAAAAGAAACGGCCCGGAGGGCGTTGGGCCATCTGCATGCGTGGGAGGCCCGCCCGGCCCGCAGGACCGTCTGCAGATGCGCCCTGGCCTTGCGGCGGAGGAGCAGCGCCCAAGAGCCCCCCGGCCCCCATGTGCCCGGCGGGGGGGCGGTCCTTGCAGGGGGTGGGGCACCCAGAGCATCAGTGGCCCTGGACCCGAGGCCACGCGGCCCACAGGCCAGGCCACCCATCCTGAGGCCACCTGCGGAGCTCGGTCCGGCTAGAAGGGCTGCGGACTTCCCCACACACGATCGGGCCTGTGTCCGTGCTTTGGGCTGCCGGTGCCTCCACGGGGTGAGGCGCAGTTGCCGCTGCCACCGAACAGCCCCCCAGCCTGCACCTGGCCAAGCGCCTCATGTGGGCCACCCCCTCGAGCACCGCTCCCGTGCCCCCCACTGCTGGCCCCCCTCAGCCTGGGCTCACCAGGGGGCTTCCAGGCCCAGCAGTGTCCTTCCCCGCCCCACAGTCTGACCAGGGGGCTGGGGGCAAGCCAGGCGTGTGGCAGAACCCCCCCAACCGCATCGGGGTTCCACCTGGACCCATAAGCTTCCGGGGCCGACCCCTAAAGCTGCATCACCCCCAGCCCCACAGAGGTTGGCCGTGGGTGCACATCCGCCCCTAACCAGGGAGTGAACTACCCACGAGAAAGGACTATTTGCCCCCCTGCCCCCCCTTCTGTCCATTCTTTGCACTTCTCCCAAAGGTGCCACAGGCAGGCGCTGGGCATGCAAAGAAGGGTCAGGGCCAACCAAGCCCTCAGACTGGTGCTTCTGATGCACCCCCCACCCCCCTCACCCCACCCCCACCCCCACCCCAGCCAAGGCTTGCAGCTCATTTCCCGGGGCAGCCCCACCCTGCCCGGACGGAGCTTCAGCTTACGGCCCTCGCGCAGGCCTGCCGTGCCCAAGAGACCCCCGGGGGGGCGCTTTTGCAAGGACACCCTCCCCACCCCCGTCAGCAATGGGAGCGGGAGGCATTGGGGGGAAGTGCAAGGAATGGGGTCGGCGCAATGGATGGGTCTTGCGGGCCTCCACCCGAAACCTCCGCAGCACACTCTGGCGAGCAGCGAGCCCGGCCAAGGACGGGGCCCTGCTCGGGAAGCACCTTGACCCTAGTGCCAAAGCATCAGCGCGCATGCGAGCCCAGCACCCATGCGCGGAGCAGGAAAGTGCTATTTCCTGATCCACACGCACATTAATCCCAATATTCACAGATTACCAGCTGAAGCCAAAACTAGGGCACAGGAAAGGGGACAAATCCCCAGACTTTTTGGACTTTCTGGGGGTTGGGAGCTACATCACAGGCTGGGGGTGCTGGCGAGAACTCGCAGCTCTGACCGCCTTCCTCAAGCTATGAGTCCACATTCAAACTCAACCTGGGCAGAAAGGGGAAAGAAAACCTAACAGCACAAACTAATAGTTGGGGGCCAAAGCCCTGTGCGGAAATCCAGCAGGAACTTGCAGCTCTTGCGGCCTCGCTCAAACAAGAGCCCGCATTGAAACGAAACGCAAACTGAGAAAGGAGAGAGCAAAGGGCCGCTCGGCCAGCACTGACGGGAGCCGCTGCACAGGCCTGGCCTGTGGAAGCGAATTCTCGCCAGCGAAGCTGCGGGCCAGCTGCAGTCCGGGCTCGGGGCAGGCTCCGAATTTTCGGGCTCCAGAGACGCTCACACTAAAGCCCAAGAATGGAGCCATCACAGGTTTGAGAGTCCACGTCCACAGTTCATTTTAAACACACACACACACACACACACACACACACACACACACACACACACACAAAAGCAGGCACGCATGCACACATGTGCACACGAACAGAACTCAGCCCTTCCAAGCCACGTCCCTTCCCCAAAACATCTACCTTTTGTTGCCGCTCAGACAACACATCGACTGCCGGCTCTGCACCGTGAAGGATGTCTCCACTCCCCGTGGGACAATGAACCAGAATCATGGAGCGATGGAGTTGGAAGGGGCCAAGGAAGCCGTCGCGCCCAAGCTTACGCACCGGGCTCGGACGGCTGTCCGGGTGCATCTTGCGTGCCTCCAGTGTGGGGAGCCCACCGCCTCCCGGGGCACCGGTTCCATTGCCACACTGCTTCCTGACCTCCGCCCGGCATCTGGCTTCCCGTGACTGGAGCCCGTTATTCCGTGCCCCACACTCTGGGGTGACGAAGAGAAGACCCTGCCCTCCTCTTTGCGACAGCCGTGCCAGGCCTTGCCGAGTGCCGCCCTCTCCCCCTCGGTCCTCTCCTCCAGGCTAAACACGCCCAGCTCTTTCCGCCTCTCCCCCCAGGGCTGCCTCCAGTCCCCGGGTCATCCGGGTTGCCCTCCTTGGAACCCTTTCCAGCTTGTCCACATCTTTCTTCAACGGTGGTGCCCAGAACTGGACACAGAGGAGGTCCGACTAGTGAGGAGCACAGGGGAGCTGGGACTTCACGGCATTTGGACGTGATCCTTCTATTAAAGCGGCCTAATATAGCATTTGCCTTCTTTGCTGCTACATTGCATTACTGGCTCATACTTCATTTGTGATGCACAAGGCAAAGATCCCTCTCGCTTGCCGTATTCTTGAGCCAAGGCATCCCACCTTGTCACTATGTGTGTGGTTGCTTTCCTCTGGGCACAGAACTTAGTATTTGCCTCTATTAAATCAATTCTGTTGTTTTCAGCCCTCCAACCTATCAAGACCGCTTTGAATTCTACCTCTATCTTCCAGGGTCTTAGCTGTCTCACCTGCAAATTTTGCTTTGTGTCAGCTGCAAATCTGCTAAGCTTTCCTTGAACTTCCTCACCCAAATCATCAATGCAGATGTGGAATAGCTCTGGGCCCAGTCCTGAGCCCTGCGGTGCCCACTCGTTACCCCTCCCCTATTTGAGAAGGAGCCACTGATAAGCACCCTTTACGTCTGATTCCGTGGCTGATCGTGGAGCCCCGTGACAGCTGCCCCATCTAGCCCACTTTTCGCTAGCTTACTAAACTGGGTATCATGGGGCGCTTTGTCAAACGCTCTGGTGAACTGAAGATGCATTATATCAAGAATTCAAGTAAGACACGGTCATTTCCCGTAACTGCCACTTTTCCTGTCATCTCCTCTGCCAAGAATTGGAAGGAGGGAAGGAAAACTTATCTGGGACCCAAAGTGCTTGACTTCAAAGTCTGATGCGATTTCTTCAAAGCGCCGCTTGCGGGTCATTTGCTCTCTCTGCTTCTGCGTCTCTCTGGACTACGTAGAAGGAGGAAGGGATCCCTGTCACTAGCCAAGACTGCCTGGGCCTTGGCCACCGTGTGCTGCATCTCTAATCCAGCATCCAGGGAGACAGCACACCTGGCGAGGCCACGGCCCTTCACGGCACGCGTGCGCGTCCGTCCCGCGCAGCAGCGCTCGCTCCTTCTGCTTCTTGCAGGCTTGGAGTCCCGGCTTCAGACGAAGGCAAGCTGTGTCACGGGCACCTCCTGCCATCCCCGCGCTGACCGGACAAATGCGTGTTCCGGTTCTGACAAAGAGGTCACACTCCTCCGTGTCCACGTGCCCTCAAGCAGGAGTCGTGGAACCCACGTCCGGACTTGATCCCCGGGGGTTGTCCAGGACTTGGTACGGGGGGCAAATGCCAAGGAACACGTTGCGAAGAGCGGCTGCAGAACCATCCGGCGTGACTTGCATTTAAATGGAAGGCTGCCAAGAGTCCTGCACAGTCCCACAACTTCAGAAGAGGAAGCTGTTCTGCAGTGGGGGAACTGGGAAAAAGGAAGCTGAGCGAGAGAGTCAGGAGGCGCAAATCCCTTGCAAGCCTTTGGAGGTTACTGAAAACCACAATAAATCAAGCTCAGCTAGAATGTGCACCAGAGGTTAGGAAAGGCAGCATCAGGTCAACGAGTGCAGCAGCCTGGCTAATTCGCATCTGGGAGAGGACCGATGGCTCCTTCAGGACATGGACATCTTGGCAAAAGGAGGGAAAGGGAGGGGGCAGCCCCCAAGAGAGGGGAAGCGTTTTGAGGAGTGTCTCAGCGACGGTATCGGGGCTGGCAATGCCGAATTCTTGAAATACCCGGCGAGAGAGGCTGCTGAGCCGCCGGATCATAGTGGAGTTAAAGGAAGATAAAGAGGTGGCGGAGAAGCCAAATGAATTCTGCTAAGTGTCTTAACAGCCGAGGATGGAGAACTGATGAGCCCAGGAAAGGCGCCCAGGAAAGGAAGGCATACGGTGCTGCCAGAAGGTGGAACTCTCAACTTTACTGGCAAACGGAAAGTTAATAACTCACCAGGCCCACCTGGTATCCATCCAAGAGCTCAGAGAGCTCAAATATGAAATTGTTGACCTTCTTACAAAAACATTTAATATGTCCCTAAGATCAGCCTCTGTGCCAGAGCACTGGAGAATGGCCAACACAACAACAACTTTTCAGAAGGGATCCAGGAGAGAGCTAGGACATTGCATGCTGGCTAGCTTAACATCTGTTCTGGGTAAATTGGTTGAAAGGGCCATTAAAGGTAAGATTAGTAAGCGGGACTAGTCCTGCTGGCACACCATCGACATGGCAGCCACAGGCAAGTCCTTTCCCACAGCCCCGTGGAGGTTCTTGAGTACGTCTGTCGGCAGGTGGACAAGGGCGCTCTGGCAGGCGTCGTTCCGTGGAGAAGAGCATGGGCCGGGACTCTGTGGCTGAGCAGGCCTGAGTCCCCACTCAGCCACAGAGCCAGTTGGGTGACTTGGGCCAGGCACAGACCCTCGGCCCAGCCGGTCTCACGGGGCTGTTGTGGGGATGAGCTGGAGAGGAGGAGCAGGCGAGGGGCGAAAGCTGCTCCGAGTTCCTTGGAGGGAGAAAAGGCAGGACATAAATATAATGAATAAACAAGTGCTCCAACAGGAATTTGACAAAAGCCTCACCAAAGGCTCCTGAACAAACTCAGCAGTCCCGGAATAGCCTTTTTCGGCTAAAG